AAGCTGCTCCTATGTTCTGAGTAGTGAGTTGTTCTCTGTCGCTGAGTATATAGTTCGCTGCTTGACCCTGCTATCTCCGTGAGTGCTGCACCTTGAGGATAGCGCGTGGAGACGGCGCTCGGATACCACCACCCTCCAGCCCCGTTTCCGTGCATATTTGAGCATATCTTTCCGGGCTAAAGTTGAGAATCGTGGGTCACTGCCGTCAGCGAATAAAAGTGGTCAAGCCAAAGTGTAGAAGGTTTTCGCGGAAAACCGGATGAGATAGTTCTTTTCTGTAGTTCCTTCAACAGCTTCATATGCTCAGTGTTGCTGAACAAGCTTGTGCCCACGAGTGTCCCGTTACCCGTTCTTCTGATCCACTTTTTCTGAACTTCTCCACGTTCCACCTTCTCCTTGTTTCATGAACAGCCAAAGAAAGAGCTGTCTATCTTGATGAACCACGCCTTTCAATTCTCCGTTCTCATTTTTGCGGTGAACGGGTATCTGTTCTACGAGTACAGGATTTTATTGTGTATTACTTTTTTAGCGAACCAGTGACTCATCAGCTTTCGGCACCTAGAAACTAATAGAGCATTTCGACGCATTCTAGAATGTTTACTGACCTACTTTTAATGTTTTCTTCCCATACTATGCTGAGGAAAACCACGGGTTATGGTGAGCCACGTGCTCTGATGGGGAAATCTCACTGGCTCTCTGAAGTTTTATGTTGCCGCAAAAATAATGGCGAGTCTTAAGTTGCAAAAATTTCGGAGTTTCTCATGAGTACATGGCCAAAATGTGCGTTAAGTGCCGCCTTCAGCTCTCAGAAAAACGTTGCCACAATGATCTTTTTTAGGTCGTGGGAACAAGAAGTAATCACTAGCCATTTTCTCAAGTTTCCCTTCATTTTCACGATTTTCTTTTCATTTTTCTCAATTTTTTTATCAGTATTCATTTTCTCAACACTGTCTCACCAGTCAACAAACACTTGTCTCACAGTCGTTCTTGTTTCTAGTCAGCAAGATAACTACTGCGTGGCGTATAGTACGACGTTTTTTTTTTTCCTTACGCAAATTTTTATATGAAAATTGAGACTCGTTTCTATTGAGTTCTACGCCTTCGAAAGACATTTTCCGCTCTATGAGAAAGTACAACCGCCTTCCTACTACTTCTTGATTTCTGGCGATTTTTATTCCATTGAAATGTAGTGTTGGATCGACACAGAAGAATTTTGAAAAAACTTTTTTTGCATATTATCTTTGCTCTCAAATTAACAGAAGAAGCTTAAAAGTGTGTGGTAATATATGCACCAAGAGAACGGTGGCCTCATTGTCAGCCTTAAATACTTAGTTTAAGCACTGGCGGCTGGGCTTTGAGACCTGTAAATGCTGTCATCACATGGCGGTACCTCCTGGGAACCGACTTCCTGCCGAACCACCCCCTAATTTACGTGACCGTCTCGGTAACATCAGCTTGGGCGGTAATATGCTTAACAGTGATAAGGAAGCATTCTATGACCTCTAACGATTCCTCAACCTTTGGCATGAATCTCTATTGAATAAGATGATTCAGTAAGCTCTCAATTAGACTCAATAAGGCATTAGGTTCGATGCTTCTCTGTGAAGTCGAAATTGAAATCTTCGAATCACTTAAACTATTGTAAGCATTTCTTTAAAGAGGCAATAAGCCTTCTCGGTTCACATACTTAGCAACTACGGCATGTGCAGTTGTTAACTTTTTTAATTAAAGGCGGAAAAGAGTAGGCTGTCAAATCAAAAGTATCAATTTCGTCGGCCTGACACTCCAGATTGAGCAAGCAATTGAATATTAGTAGGAAGGGAATTCTCGAAAAAAAAAAAACTAAAAAGATTGCCGTATAGAGCAAGAATTCCTCGCCAAACGGTTTCGAACTCAATGGCAAAGTTTTCATCTTTAGCGCGATATTTATAAAAAACGCATTATGGGCCGACCAATTATAGGGATTTGTGAGGCACATCGCATTTTAATTAAAGTGTTCAGAAATTCCTCGAAAAAGATATGATGCCTTGAGCTTATTCAGGCAATACTATTTTTTTTGTAACAATCGGCCTGCCTTCCCACTTCTCAACAGCGTCGTTGTGGAACAATTGTGATTTAGTGAACATTGCCAAAGGTTTAGCCTTTGTAGTTGCCATACTGGCTTATTCAGTCCACAGATGCCTCAAGTGGTTTCTCACGTTTGCGCGATAGATGACACAAATTCGAAGACGGAGTCTTGAACGCTATTCTCTTGAAAACCTGTATAGATTTGAAGGCGCAAACTGAATCAGTATATTGAACGTTCGAGCGTGCTTTCCATGACAGCTTGTAAACGCTACGTTTCCCAAGAGAAAACGCGATTTTCTCTTCGCTTTTCACTACTTTATCATTTTAGCCATTCCACCAAGGAGGAGCGAGTCACTGATACTGCTAGAGTCAACGAGCCCTGCCATATATCTGAAACGACAGAGGGCGACATTTTTTGTGAATCCTTGCAAATGCACCGGTAAATGGTACGAACGGTTTGATACGCTCAAAGAATACCTTTTCACTCGCTGCCAGTAGAGGTATATTTCATGTCGCGAAAATGGAGTAGGCGTGACTTCAACGGCACGTGGCGAAAGATGCGTTTTTCGTGAAATATTTCCGTTCGAGACAACTGTCGTGCTGTCTTGTGCTGGACAACGACATGATTGCAGATGTCCCAAAATGACAGAATCCTACGAATCCTACCAAAAGAATGATCGCCGCCTTGTTCAAATGAAGTCCGCAGTTGCACCCACTCCATCTCTGAGAAGGAGTGTATGGGGGTGAGACCGGGGCGACATCTCCTTGTAGGAGTTACGGAACACATGGATGAGCTTAGAAAATCACGAACTTAGACATCGCTGAGGATGTATTGGATGCAGCGCCACGATGACGACGAGTTCACGGAAACGGTACAGACTCTGGCAGAAACTGTAGTATCGGCTCGAAAAACGCTAAAGGCGTTTTGGATATCGTCTAGAGAACCTAAGTTGAACAGAGCAAAAAGGATGAATGGGAGGGCAATACACGTGACCTAGTGTCCCATCTATGACTAGAGGTTAGAACTTGCAACCCGAAAGGTCCAAAGTTCGCTTGAAAAGTTCCTTCATTCATTCTGAATACCAAAGAGCAACTCACATTTGAATCAACGCAGGTGTTTTCATAGAGATCAATGTCACTTTTAAGGGCTGTACGAAACCGGTCAGCCTTTTGAGTACGGTCATAAATAGAGAGTATACATAAGTTGATGTCCTTCTTCCACATAAGCGATCGGCAGACGAACCCGTACAGTGTGCTCGCCTGAAAAGCAACATAATAAAGGATGAATTTCCGTCATGAGTTCCTATAGCTCTACCAAATGCGAACTGCTGTGCTATAGGAGCCCCATATAAAGCTGAGGGAGTGACTGACGAATGTACTAAATAATTGAGAAGTCACGTTCGAAACCCCTGGATTCAGATAATCGTGATGTTGTGCATAACATTTGCAAAATACAACAATATGCAAAAGTACTTTTCCGATACGGCCCCTCTCACAACCTTCATCTCACTTTTGGCATCCTATAAAGCGGTTTTACCTCACCGTCAAGGTAAATCTTTGGGTATTTAAAAAAGTTGGAAAGATGGCAGATATGTTGTTAAAGGGATCCTCCTGAAGAAGAACGAGCAGGGCGTGCAATAAAAGGACAAATTCTTCGCCGGGATGCGGCACGCTTCTACATTCAGAGTCGTAGTGGCTTATTGTATACGATGTGGCATATACAATACCTGCTGGGCTAGCCGATGTACCACACCACCTGGACCTGGACACCAGCACTTCTCGTATGTAGAATGGCCTCCAACCGAGTAGTTTCCGACAACGTTGCTAGGGTCCAGGATAACATCTTTACTGCAGTCGCAAGGCCCGGGCTGATGATATGGATAGGAAGTTCTGGAATGGGGAGACCGATATTTTCATCGTGGACCCCGGACCGAAAGTGAACGCTGATGGTTACATCGATTACGTCGAGCAACTCGAGGAGAATATCCTGCCTCCACTTTATCGCCTATACCATCTTGGAAACTTCGTACTGCTACAGGATTGGGAGTGAGCGACGGTGGAATCGGGGATCGAAAGCTCTCGCTACCTCCCGGGTTCGAATGGGGCGTTGAGTACCTGAAGAAGGAATATTATGGTTTCACCTGACTAAACGCGCCTTCGATAGCCGCGGTTGCCGAGAGGAGCTCAACAGGGTGGTCTAGCAGTGGGAATAAACGTCATAAAGTAAAAAAAAAAACTCGTTGAATATGATGGTGGAAATGTCCAATAGGAATTCAATAAAGTGTAAATTATAGCGCCTCGAAAGTCGTGAAGAAAAAGTATCTTTTTTTATTAGCCCCCCCCCTCCCTTGTACATTTCTGAGTGACATAAACTTCGGGGAGATACCAATGAAGGGAAGCTATATACACTTTTATGTGCTCATTGCGCTTTATGTGAGCGATTCGCCCGGAAGTGATGTGTGTGAAACTCGTCCGCCCTACACATAGAAGCTAAGACGAGCCCTGTAAAGATTTCTGTGACGCCGATTGGATCGCGAAATCTGTTCGCTCAGAACCCGGCAAAAGCAATTATTAATCTTACTAGTTTGACGAGAATCCCCCATCACTTATATCGCTGTTTTTGGACATCACATTTTTAGGGAGGGGGCAGTTTTGTCGATCATCGATATCGACAGACACAACAGGAATTCGATCCATCGGCAGCAATTATTACGTCATTCTTTCATATCATATGCGTCATATTTTCTGGCTTTGCTTTGGATACTTTGGGAAGTTATAATTATGCAAAATGGGCAAACAGTTTTTCCCCTTTTCAAGGGCTAGCTGACGGGGTCCGCAATTTATTTGAATATACCACCAGACTAGAACTTAGATTGTTCACTTCTTCTCTGTAGGATGATTCACTCGTACACGCTGAGCGCTTATTACACAGGTTCAAAGTCATCTCTCTGTTCATTGCTTTGGTCAGATGAAGGCCGCTCCCACAGAGTAACAAGAAGATAAAACGCTGAAGTGCTTATCGTCTGTAAATCCCCAGGATAGGCGCACTCGCACTCTCATCTGCATTCGATCTCTAAACTGGGATCGACTGCGTCTCTTTTTCCTCACAAATCCCCAGATTCTGATAGTACTAAACTCCAATTTCGTAGGCCTCTGAAGGTTCGGAAGTAAGATGAGTCATAGGATCGCGCAATCATCGCTAAATTCCCGAGATGAATCGTCGATTCTGTCGCGTAATCGGGAAACTTGACCAATTAGCCGATGCGCACACAACCTCTGATAACCGTGTACTTAAAACAGATATGAGTAATAAGGTGACAGAGATAGACGCCAGGCATGGCTCTCTTTTAAATTACAAAATGGAGTAAGCGCTGTGTCAAAGGCAGAGTCCGTAGATAACTAATGTGCAGAACCCCTCCTTGAAACAGGTGGCGCAGTGTGCAAGTACAAAAGACGTCCCACTCCTGCGACTCAGTATTGCTAGAGTCACAGCTCTGCTTCGATAAGTAGCTTTCGCTTCATCGCATAGCGTAGTCATAGTCTACTAACGCTGTTACAGCGGTGGGTCTCAATCATGTGGGTCACGCCACACCATCGTCTCTTACTCTCTTCTATACTCATGGGAAAGGTAGTTGAGAGAGGGCCATGTAGCGACGCGAATTTGCCACAACGTTGTGCGCTTGTCGCACCTACTCAGTAGGTAGAAGGGTGGCCCATGTACTCGTATTAAGGCTCCCAAAAAAGCGTAACAAGGCAAAATGAGAAAGATCAATTTGTGAGGAAGCGACATCAAAGGAAGCTTATAATAAGCTTTTCGCGCTTGTGGTCCGAGAGCCAATGAAATAAAATAAAAATGTGATTTTTTTAGAAATTCATTGCATTTTGTTTCAAAGTCCAAAATTTTAAATTTACTCTGAAGGCTGATTATTTTATTATTTAATTGAAATTATTGAGGGGGGGGGGGGGTCAATTCTCATATCGTTTTCCCCTAGGCCGACCAAACTTTCTACCTTGCGCGAGCGGTGGAATTGGCACCGTAGTCGTCTGGGAGGGCAGGTATAGACGTAGACGAAAAGGAAAAGAGACTTGTCTATCAGCTGGTCCTCGCGAATCATTATAGGCCGCATCGCATTCGATAATCCGCTGCGATTTGAGGTGGAAGTGGCATGCGTGGCGTGCCGCACCTCAAAAAGACCGATCAGCGGCGAAGACTATCCTTTATCCTTTTTATGATACACAGTTCAAATCGATCCAGTTTCCAGGAACTGCTATATGTGGAACTTTGTGGAATTGTTTCTCTATAATTGCCGTAGGCGCAAAAGGCTCAAAATCAATCCGACATTATGCAAAGTGAATGTTCAGCAGCAATGTGAGGCATCAAAAAACTATGCAGGGGGTCTATAGGTCACCAGTAGCTCTTTGAACAATTAGTTCTTCCTTTACAGTTTTGGTATTAGGAACAAGGCGAGCTACTCCAGCTTGGATCCCGTTACTTTTTTATGTTCTTAGTCGATAACTAACTACAACTGGTATGGGAAGAAGATAGACTTGCGCGTGGTAAATCAGCTAACGCTGTCAAATCGAGTAGCGGAATGCATTATTCGCCGAAGCTTGCGCGGCAGCCATCAATCATCATTGTTCTATGTTCGGCCTATCGGAACTAGAGGTGAAGTGCTTTGAAGGCAGTGGGCACGATAATTTGCTTATCTGCATAAAACAGGAGCAGAGGCACTCTGTAGAACTACTACAATAAGGCGAAGGCGTATCAGAAAGAGGAAGCCCTTGTTAAATCGGGCTTCCAGTGCATTTGAAACGGAGTCCTACGCTTGGATCAGGTCTTGCTGGAAATCAATGAATAAAATCACGGCGATTTCACAGGAACTATGAAAACACATTATTTCGAGCAATAAAAACACAATAGTTCCTTAGGAGAAGCAGGGACGTAGCGACATTTTCACGAAGCGGTTGTCGAAGATTAGCGAGAATTTATGTGAAAAAAGCCAGAAAAGTGAAGCAAGTCTAAAACTTCCAAAACGGGCACTGCTCGCAAGCAAAGCTTGCACTCTTCCAAAGAAAAGATTATTTCCGTTACCCATGAGTCTTACCTCTCCAGAAAGAACTCAAAAAAGAATTAAAAAAGCGCGCCACTCAGCCGCGTACTGTCTTCGGAAGCAGCTGATCCGATGGTGATCAACTGCTAATCGGTGCGGTTATTTGTAGACGTGTCGTTGTTGGAGGGAGTTCGGATTCCGTATTTCGTTCGACTGTTCGGTATTTTCCTCATGCACGGATGCGTGACGTGCAGCTGCATGATTACTCTTCATCACACTAGCTTAATCACTCACCCCTTGCATTTGCAGGCCGTCAATGTCGCGCAAATTACACTGTGGTTATCAATTCACAGTGGTGATTGGGCGGCGTTTTGGTCCTTCTCGCGATGCCAGCCCCCCGTCCTTCTGGGAGGATGGAATCGACAAGCTGCCTGAGCGTTGGCGTCGAGTAGTGGATGGTGATGGTGCACACCACTAATCTTCAGGCTGGTTCGCTATTGAGATACTTACAAAAAAGTCGGGGTTAAAAACATATGCATCAACCTAATATGTTGAAGCCTGCTTATACGCTTAGAGATCGCTTTTCCTCGCTAAAGACATCGCAAGGCTTTGTTAGGAGAGCGGAATTCCTTCGTGATCGGCATGTTCATCGTGCATGCCTAGGGGATTTACATTGCACTTTGATTCCAATAGCTAAACTGAATGAGAAAGGAAATCTGTAAAGGAACTCAGGACTACAAAAACTACAAGAAACTTGAGATTGTGTATCGCTTTCCGCCCAACTTTTCAAAATTGTGCGATATTTCCCAGCCCAATATACCCATAGGGTCAACCTTGGAGATAAGGATAGTCTGACATTTGAAAAGCCGGGAAGTGAATAGTGCCTAGCAAGGAGTTGTAAAAGACCAAATGCACTGAGCCACCGAAAGGAGGGAACCGCCATTATTATCGCGTGTGGATGTTCCTGTGAGATCGTTCAATAATATAGTTCTCTTCGAAGTAAATAAACCGCATAGAAAGTAAGGATTCCAAGAAAATAAAAATGAAAGGGGATCCGAAACTGCCTTCACGCGTCTACAAATGAAGGGAGAATCCAGAAACTCCTCACCTCTATACATCGTTCCAGGCACATGGTCACATTTTGCAGTTGTCCTTCTGATCGTGTCCCAGATCGTTCGAGGAATCGGCTTGGATGGTAGATGAAACAAGAAAAGACGTCCTCGTAGACGTTTACGCCAATTGTGGCCCTGAATTCGACATCTTTGTTAATCCGCCGTCTCTAAACTGGCTCTCTAGTAAGGAGGGATGGAGCTGCAGAAAACACTCTCACATTGTCAGTCTCTCATCTTGCATCGGCTCTCTCGCGAGCCAGCAAAGCATTCACGCATCCAGGACGAGCAGTCAAAAGACCTAACTAGTGTTCACCTCTGCAAGTGAGGGGGAATCACCAACACGATCCCGAGTGGAAGCGAAATGAGCGAGGCGTTGATAAGATGTTCACCCTCACTGAGGTGAAAGTCCGCTCCCCCAATGGAACCGGCCTATGTATGAGACGCGATTCATCATTAGAAAAAATGCGATAAGGTTGTAGTGGACAGCAAAGGGAAACCATCCCGTTTGGTCGCCAGCACAATGGTTACGTTTTCCCGGAGCCGATGGGAATGATCATCTTGACATTGAAACTGTTTTAACTCAAGAAAAGGAGTTGACTCCGGGTAGGCTTCAAGCCTGATCTCTATCCTTAGGCAGCGTTCAAACTTCGCGACGGCAGCCTTCGGTCGCGCGTTCGACGCGATCGATGCGATGAAAGTGTGTGCATCGATCGTCTCGAACGCGGCCGAGGCGCTGCCGTCGCGAAGTCTGAACGCTGCCTTACTGGGTCAGTGTGCTAGAAATTACAGCACCGTGGTCGTCTTCGACCATTTCAACTTAGTGGCTTTCACGCCCTAGCAGCTAAGTGAAAACTACTATTACGGTTTCGATATAGGTTCCGAATCTTCCGAAGTGGTAGGGCCCCGTAGTCTTGGAACGAATTACGATGGCAGTAAGGACACATCCAAAGTTCATTCGGGTACCCTAACAATAGCTCAGAATTAGTCCAGTCTGGGGTTTTTTGCACATTTAATTGCGCAGTATCTGTTGTGGATTCACAACCCTTCAAGTAGTATATTATAGAGTCAGCCTATCAGAGTGAATGATAACATATTAGCCAACTCAATGGTACTCCCAAGATAAGCACCCCTCGAAATCGTACCGCAGGCATGACCTAGCGGTATCGTAAGTGTGTCATTGTATAGATAGTATCTCCGTTAGGATGTCAGTTATACGATATGCCACTTTCGTGAAGCCCGCGCCTTTAAGAATTGGGTCTACAAATCAGTGAACTAATTATCATTATGTCTGATATGTACTGTTTTGCCAATACGAGTGGGAAAATTGAGAGCGCACTCCTCGTTTCCTCGTTCCCTCCTTCGCTGCCTTTTCCCTAAGATATCAAGTGTGATCACTAACTGGGCCAACAAAAAGCGCCCACGTTATCAGACGCAAGTGGTTTCCCTGGTTTCCCTTAGATCCCTTCGTCTTCGCTCTTTCCTTCTTTCCCCGATCTTCAACCTCTCCTTCCCTTTTCCACACAGGACCAATTCTCAAAATGTCGACTGTTATCAGTGAACTTGGCTAAAAAGACTTACCCAAGCGAAAGAAGTAGTAAGGGAATGGAACGCATCGCTATCCACTTGTCACACATATGAATACAGACCGAAGGTGCAATTGCTTCTAACAAGGCAGCATAGTGTGCCAGAATATGAGAACAGAATCGTAAGCTGACTG